AGACTTTTGCTTTTCCTTCTTGAGTTACGGGGCTTTTAAAACCAATAGCCTCAATTTTCTGAAGAAATTTTAAAGGCTCTGAAAAGGAGAGAAAAATGTACGAAACTTGAGAAAAAGATCCAACTATTCTTCCTCCTGACTCAACTAAACATCGAAATATCTCCTTAATGGGACTCAAAAGTACTGATCTCATTAAGATGTGATTCACTGTTGGAAGTGAAAAATGAGATTCAAATATTCAAAAGATGTAATTCTTCACTAATTTCGTACAATAATATTAAATAAAAGGATATGTACTAGAAAAAATTTCAAAGTACGTTAATCGACATGCAATTTTTAGTTTTAGTTTTTACAGTCTGTCGAATTTACTATTGTATCCACACAACGTATGATCTATCATCTGCATCACTCATTCGTACAAAACATAGAAAAGAAAAGAAAAAACAAACTTTTTTTTTCCTTGAAGAAATGTGTAAAGAATAAAGTTCAATCAGCGGTCATCTTAAGTGACGTACGAAGAATAAATTCATAGATTCAATAACGAATAAGAATAAAACAGAAAATATTGACTGATAAATCATTTTGTCTATCATATGAAGATCAGCATATGAGATAAACATTAATATTTTCTAAAAATATATGATTTCAAATTCGGTCTTTCTCCATTAGTACGTGCTTCGGTAAGCTATGAAAACAGACACTTCGGCGAACAACGCTGAATTGATCAAGAGTTTGTTTTCTACTGGTTCCTGTTACAGATTGCTTAGGTTGATATCTTAAGCTGTTGCACTCAATAGAATTATGACTCTAAATATCCGATTGTAAAAATATGAAAATGAATATAGAAGAAGTTTTTCTTCTTGACAGTCAATGCATCTAACATACGAATTTTTTGACTAAAATATTTCTGAATAATGGCACAAAACTTGAAAAACTATTTCGATTTATCATCTAGAATTCTAAATAGGACATTCAGCTCAATAAGAGACAAAGTACAGCTCATACTATGCCCTGGATGCAGTGGAATACAATAGTAGAAAACGAGTAACGCTTACCTTCACGATGTATAATGTATTTAGTTTTACTATGTAAGCGATTGTATCCTATACTGTTAGAACAATGTGAACGAAGAATGAGTGAGACATGATTTCCATCACATGGATATAGTTTCTCTTTCTTCTCTTCTCTTTCGATATAATTAGTGAGTATAGCAACTTGTACAACAATGAAAAAAAGAAAATGTTAGACGTCCATAAGTAAAACTTACCACTGTCCTTTCTTCTCTTTCGTGTATTAGAACAAAAGAGAAAAAAAAATACTAGAACAGACGAGTTAAGGTTATACAGATTAACAAAATTCATAAATTACGTTGTTCATGGAGGAAAGGAGGTAGAGAGTCAGTTGATTCTCTTTAAATTTTGTTGACTAAAAACGTTTGGGTTTGAAAATGATTTTAGACCTAAAATAGATTTATGAAAATTTTGGTCACGTTATTTATTAAAGATATCTATCCTTTCATTTTACAGTATTACTCTCTGTTACAACTATGAAACTTTGTGAGATTTGTCGATGGGAATCGATCAGTTAATATTATGTTTGCTGTGACGGACTTTCAGATAATGGCTTTGTCTACACTTAGAATAACTTCAGTCGATAATTTCATGCGAAACTATTCTTGTAAGAGCATGAAGGAGAGAAACTTCTCAAGTATCCCTGACGATATGTATATCATTCGTCGACTAATTTTTGTCAACTAGCACTTTTCTCGACACTTGATTGTCGAAAGAATATCTTCTCGACGGGTTATTTTGTCGACAACTTTTCGTCGACGCAAGAGACTTTTTGTCGACAAGTGATATTATCGACAAGCCATTTTATCGACGAATATTTTGTTGAGAAATATGCGTGAAAAAATTACTAATGCTCAAGTGCACCAATTTATATGTTGATTTTATTGAGCAGATAGAAGAGAAGGTAACAGCTAGACTAATTATAAAGACAACATAGAAGACTAGCAGACTAACAAGATAGTAAAGTGAGAACGAGAGATAAGGCAATGTTGAAATGTTTGAAATATCATTTCTTCTTTGCGACCAAAGCGACCAAGCGACAGGCTTTGAATGTAGTCGATCACGTCGATCTGCGAGCGTTTCGAGACACTGTTGAATGTGACATGTTTGTCGCCCATAAATTTTCTTCCTGCCCATTTGGAGACTATGTAATACATGTGAAATACCCACTGGTCATGTGGCTAAAACATGATGTACGGAAGAAAGAATTCGTGTTACAGACACGTCTGCATGCATGTGACTGTAACAATATGGTAAGACGGTCGCTTGACCAACAGTTATGTCTTAAATGCGACTAACTAATAATAAGACAGAAGTTCACATCACAGATGGAAGATTCATAGTCGACCCAATGGTTTGTCGACAAAGAGACTCGTCGACGAGATGAGTTGTCTACAAAATAACTGTCGACAGAATGAGTTGTCGAGGAAAAGCAGCCGACAAATATATGTGGACGAAATAAATTCGACAAAATCTCTGTCGACTATATGCTTGTCTGCCGATAAAAGAAAAGTTATCAACAAACCCCAACCAGTTGTTCGAGAGGTACTTCGAGTGCTCGGAAATATGCTTTCGATGGATCTTCGCCGAGGGCTCGAGCCCTCGGAAAATGGCACTTCGGACGTTCGATATAAGCTTTCGCGGGTATTTCCGAGCCCTCGTCGCACCCTCGAGAGAGCGAGGGTTCAGAAGTCCCGAACATCTCTATTCGACGGCTCGCAATTTTTCTCGAGAGCTTGCTATCTATCTGAAATCCGAGGGCTCGAAATTGATACCCCACGAAAGCTTATATCGTTATTGATATCGAAGTGCCATTTTCCGAGGGATCGAACCCTCGGCGAGGGCCTATTTTCGAGTACTCGCCGCACCCATCGAACGACTTTTTTCATGCATGGGACTATGTGTTCGACGAATGATATACAATTCTCCCTGACGACCGTGTCTTTTTTAAATAACTTTTGCTTCGAAGAAACTAAAAAGCTCTAGCCCTTACCGTTGCATAGTGGGGGTGAGACAGTTCCAATTCCTACGAACTGGTTATTAGTTCAGTTCTTGTAGAACCGCGAACTGGTACCAGTTCCCATTCAAAAGAACTGAACTGGAACTGTTCCACCCCCATTCCATAGTCACGACTTTGGAGCATAAAAATAGAGTGAAAAATGTCGGTGTCTGTTCGTTATACTACTGAATTGCAATTGAATTATATGATTTTATCCACTCAATCTAATGTTGTGCTTCAGATTAGTAAAAATCTTCTATTACTTCTAAAAGTTTCCAGGAAATCTTGCCAAAACCAAAGTATTCCCTGTTGGTTTTTAAAAGTTCTATTGAAGTCTGTGATATAGTGCAGATAAAATAGAGTACATCTTCATATTCTGATGTAGTTTGCATCGACTTTGACTGGGTTATGAGTTTCTACTTTTACGTAAAAACAGACAAAAATGGGTTATTTCATCTAGTATAGGTTTTCACTAGGTTTTTGAATGTTTTTCAGAAGACAAACGTCGCCATGTGACTCAGCGTGATCGATTACCTATGTTTCCATTAATCTTGAGGATCACATCTAAAGGAATACCAATCCTGGCGCTGCCAGGAAATCCAGTGGCACGCGTAAAGCACGAAAAACTACGAGTTCGCTTAGCTCCAGTTTTGAACTATTTTTTCATGAAAAAAAGTCGTTAGATCCTTGTGTAAAATTAAATTAAAAAAAATAGAACTTTCAGATAATGTCAAATACAAAAAGGCTAAATATTGTGAATCAATTGAAAAGTCCTCTCAACGTTCTTTGTACTGTCTTGCACGGATAAATTCATACACCTCAGCAAAATTTGCCTATTATGTAGAACAATCCTAAGGACAAGAATCAAAACACAGTATATGAAGAGCTTGCTCATTTAGCGTAACAGCGTTTCTTCACATTATCCAACAGCCATGATATTGAGGATTGCTATTTATTTCGAGAAGATATAATATAAGTTGTGTGTTAAGAAAAGAAGAGAACATATGTTTATTATAAAAAAAAAATAAAATTCTCACAATAAAACTTTATGAATAAAATTGCTGTATATATCAGAGTTAAATCCGCTAACTAAACTACGTTTCCTATTCATCTGCTTTACTTCTCTGAAATAGATAGAAAGTTGCTCTTGTCCGTATTTCTTTCTTCAGCCTAAGTAAGCAAAAACAAGGACAAAAAAGAAGATTATCCATACAAGTATAACATATCGTAACTAGATAGAAGACTATATGATTCCCTATCATAAGATATTAGCTAAGTCATTGTTCGTACAGAATGTAGCGACTAGGTTGCTTCATACTGCTCGAATGATTTTTATCATTACTGTAAATATCAGATTTTGCACATGAAAAATTAAATAGGTTCTTCATACTACTATTCGAATAGTTCAAGTGTCGACGTACAGCACATACTCGAGTATGAAATCGCATGATAAGCTGTCTGAAGGATCCATATATGTTAGTAAGCAAGAGGGAGTGATTAAGTGTGATTAAATAAATTGAATAAAACTGCGTTTAGCCGGTGCACATTACACAATTTACTTTCAAATTAATAGCACTGACAATGAGAGTACTCGAATATTACAAGTTTCGAATGAGTAAAGAAATTTAGACTGACAACGATTAAGACAGTATCCTTTATCTGCCTATTTTCCTTCAGACAATTTCAACTACTTTTCTTAGCTGATTTTGATGCTAATCGTCCTAAAAAACACATCAGCAAACCGAATCTCAAAATTCATAAGCGATTGCTTTAATCCAATTAAAACATGCGCGATGTAAACGCTTTAAGTATCAACTGTCTTACATGTTCATTTTATCACCTCTACACATGCGACAGTGAGCGATGACTATAAGGTTCATATATGTATCAAACTGTTGGTATCAATTTTATATGTCTTTAGTAAGTGTTCATTATGCTTTTTGTTCAATTTCAATTGACTTTGTGCGTTTACTAGGACCTATGGGTGCTAAACTGACACTACTTGTACGTGTACGAGGAGTTTTAATACCTGGTTCCTGAAATGAAAATGCAACGATTAAAGTAAACGATAGTTCGTCATTCTGGACACTTACTTTGAACTGTTCCCAACCCTGTGGATATCGACATATACGCTGTTTGAATCGCTGTTGTTTCTTCCAATCAGACTCGAATTTAATCGTTGGATATAGAGTCTGAGTAGAATGAAGTTTTTGAACTAATCGGACGTTAGCTTGATGGTGTTCAGCTTGTATACGTTTACGTTTATCACTATTTAAACTAAAAATGCGCGTAGGTAACACTATATGATTTCACAGAGCAGAACAAATACCTCCTTCTGATATAATCATTCCTTGAGTCAACATAACCTCCCATTTTAATTACATGCATTATGCTGTTGCGTAAACGTGTATTCTCACCTTCGATTAGTGCATCTTGATATTCACGGGCCTAATCATAACACGCATATAGCATAACATTATGAGCAACGCAAGCTTGACTAATAAGCGATACTTGTTTTTCAAACATCGGTTTTTGGTAATCTCTGAAGAACCCATTATGAGTACCTAGGGATATTGAGTATTACAATAACTACGAATATCCACAAATCCTGCGAACTTAACATCTGAATTAGTCAACTGGCACAACTCGTCAAACTTTTCAATAATACCCTATGAATATTAGATTCATAATCAGTTCACAAATTAACCTATATTCATCATATTGCAGCAAAACGGTGAAGGAAAAATTCCATAGCATCACCAGTAATTAGTTTTGAAAGAACTAGTTTCTTACTTCCTTCTGTTTTAAACGTTGACTATAATGTGGATATTCTCGTGGTGGACTTAGATCTATCAGACCGTGAGATTTTTTGAGCTAAAAAACAAACAATATATAACCGTAAGTAGCTA